AGTCAGTCACCACTGTCTACCACCTGCCGGTTATCATTCCCAAAGAGCACAGTCAACCCCTCCCTGACGCCGGGTGCATATGGCGCTGTTTGGCACTGGGTCTGGAATTGGCATCTCAGAGCACCGCTTCCTGTGCATACTAACCAGTGGGCCCTCTTTTTCCCGAGTACATCTTAACTCTCAAGTGGGAGCCTTAAAATAGAGGCCCCACTTGCAATAATTATAGGCAGGAGATTTGGGGATGCCTCGGAAACCAGATATCTCCATGCTGTCGTGCCTGGGACGTGGGAGGAAGGAAGGTGAGGACCACAGGAATGTCAGCCTCTTAACCTGATTGCCTTGATGCTAGGCATATATTTCTTCTGGAAGCTCTGCTAGCTTTGTACATTCTCCCAGGACACCAGGACTGCATTCACATCTTACTTTTACACTAAAAGCAAGGAAACGTGACATGCTTATACCAAGTGAGTGGAACTGAGAACCTGAGAAATTCTACAAATAAAGAAATGCAGCCTTCCTCTAGGTATAAAACATTTCAAGGAGATCACTCGTCATGTTTGCCGCTGTTGTTTTTTCAATGTAAAAACCACTCACTTAGGACACCCACATTGGCAACCACTCTTCACAGACGTAACAGCTCTAATCAGGTGGCTGAAGCTAGTCTCTGAACGGATGACGATCCCGGGCAGAGTCTGCCCTCCGTGATGCCAGTGCTGTGGGGGCATGTCTGTGCTCCAGGGAGGCACCATGTTGTAGATCTCCATTGTTATCTGCCTGTTCAATTGTCACTCTCAGTGAACTGAACAATTCTAAAATTATTTCAGGCAGTATTTTTTTTATGGCCCCATCCTTCCTCTTCCTTCTGATTTCCCTCCCCAAACTCCTGTCCCCTTCTTTCTCTCTGACTAGCAGTCAAGTGTTGCAGCCTCAGCGAGAAAAACCTAATCTGTACCATGGAGAATTCTTAACAGGAAGGCGGCCTTAAGGTGTAGGAAGAACAAGGGTGATGTTGGATGTCTTCCGTTCTGGGCTGGGCTGAGCTTGGTGGCGTTCAGCTACACGGCTGCGGTCATGGGGTTCTTCTGCCGGGGATCCTGCATTCGATAGGGGTACTGATCTGGGCTGCCCCCTCGGGGCACTGGTCTGCCCATTTCTGGGTAGGCTGGTACTCTGTGGTGCTGAGGAGGGGAAGGTGGGACATCTTGTCGGAAGGGTCCTTTGTGCTGGGGGGCTGGCGGGGGCGGATAGTACTGGGGATACCGGAGATCTGTGATCCTCAGATCTGGGGGGCGGGGGTAGCTCCCTTTGGGCGGATGCACAGGATGAGCCCCTGGGTAATATGGAAGCTCCCTTTCCTTGTAGAGCCCTCGAGGTGCTGCTGTCAGGTAGTCTACAGGATCCGCTGGTCCTCCCCTGGAAAGAGAACAGACACATATCAATGACTACAAAGCCAGCTGCCCAGATGATGACCACATTCCTTAGCCTCCCATGTAGTTTGGCCACAGACTGGATCTGGCCAGTGGGATGTGAACAGACGTGATGTGCGCCCTTAAAAGGAAACAAGGGACACTCTTCTTCTCTTCCCTCCTTTCTGTTGCCCCTGGAGTGGCCATATTAGACACAAGGAGAAAGCCACATGCTGGGGAGCCTGGCTCCTTGACCCCATGGAGCCAGCGTGTCAGTCAGGACTGATTGGTGCCTGAGGGAGAAACAGAATTCTGTCTTGTGTATATGTTGGCCTTATTATAGTAACCAAGCTAGTTCCCTAAACAAGGCTTAGTTTGGCTCTATTAAAGCTGGGATCATTTGCCCCCTCTCCTTTCCACCTCCCTGAAGCCTGACATAAACATGGTGGTAGAAATGCACACATTAGGGCTTCCCTGGTGGCGCAGTGGTTGAGAGTCCGCCTGCCGATGCAGGGGACGTGGGTTCGTGCCCCAGTCCGGGAAGAGCCCACATGCCGCGGAGTGGCTGGGCCCGTGAGCCATGGCCGCTGAGCCTGCGCGTCCGGAGCCTGTGCTCCGCAACGGGAGAGGCCGCAACAGTGAGAGGCCCGCGTACCGCAAAAAAAAAAAAAAAGAAATGCACACATTATTTGGAGTCATAAATTTCCCAGGGATTGCATTCACTTCTCTCCTAGGTCTGTGGGGTGCTCTTTACATGAGTCACAGTCTTGGTCTAACTCTGGTTGGCTTCTGTTACGTCCCCGTGTGGATTAGTGTGCCCTCCTCTTTCTACAGTTCCTAGAGAGAGTCCCAACCTAGAGCCTGGACTTACCCACCCAAAACTTTGATATAAAGCACTTCTACTGCAAAGTCAATAAGTACCACCCAGCCGGTAGCAGATTAGGAAAAGACAAACCAGCTGTAAGTTGTGCTGTGTAATGAGTAGGCACACAGAAGGTAAAGGGCAAGGATAAACACTAACGGAAAGCGACCCTGTCTGGACCTCTCTGCTAAGACAACAAGCATCTTCGGATCCATTTGTGGTAACAGAAGCAATAGGTCTCTAAACAAGGTACAGATGAGTGCATCTTACCTAGCCTGGGGTTAAACAGATGAGTTCTGTTTGCAGCTCCTAAAATCCCATAAACCGTCTGTGCACATATTCACTACTACCATGCCCAGATCCTTCCCACTTTCTACCATTCCTCTTTTTATTATTCCTTTTTAGAGGAAAACAGCAACAATAATAATTAATGAAAAGCTCTCCAATGTCAGAGTACAACCTGGTAGAACACTTGAAAGAAATGGCAGGGCTGGAAGAATACGGGCACCGTCAATGAGGGTCACAATCACCCTGTAATCTGCAGAGTTTGATGTGAAAACAGCTCTGTAAGTAAGTTCCCCAAATCAGGATTATTTGACAAGCTCCAAGCTTGGGTCCATGTGGAAAGCAGCATGTGAACACATTCATAGGGATGAACAATAGAATTCTCTACTTTTTTATGTCTTAATTTGGCCGTGTATAATAACGAAAGATAGATCCTTGAGCCTGGGTTAATTTAGTTAGTGTTTTCAGATAAAAAAATTAAATTGTTTGCGTACAAGTTATTATGGCGTCAACTGCTATTACTCAGTGCAGTTTGCTTTGCTCTATTTTAAATTGCCCATGACAAATAGAGCACAAATGTGTAATCTGTCACTCCAGCCCTGGGAAATAAAGGGCGGGGATTTCATCTTCCCTTTCCTTTAGAATGTTATTTTTTCTTTAGAAAACTTCCAGCATTCATTATACCTTTTATCGTATAATATTTTAAGCTTCCTCCCTCTCCCACCGTGCTCATTTCTATTTCCTTTTGGTTCACGTTAAAGATTTTCAAAACACTTAAAAAAAATCCTTAACCTGTGTTTTCTTTCAAAATCTACTGATGATACTTCTCTGCATGAAGTGAAACATGTGGTTTTTCTGCACTCATTTTAGGCCCTTGGGATAAATCACTGACATTTGCAACACACAAACATTATCTGCCTTAAAATGAACATACAACCAACACTCCCTCTGGACCCTCTTAGCATGAATGTTTCCTGTTTAAAATGGAAAGAGAGAAAGGAGGAATTCCAGGCCTTGGACTTTTAGGGTCCTGTTCCTCTCCCTGGAGATTTCTCTCTTTTAAAACAGAATATTACAAAAGACAGGCAGACCTTGGTTTTTTCGTGGAGAGACTAGCCAGATGAAGCAGTGACAGGGCAGAAGCCACCCTGATGGCCACAGCCACCGTGCAGGCTGCGTGCGCATGGGGATGGTCAAGGCTCTTCTCCCACGCCTCCCCGTACTAGTCGGCCACCTCACACGGCCAGGGGAAGAGGGGGCAGAACTCAAGATAGTTCTGTGGACCCACATTGCTTCCCCTGAGGGGAAGTTTTACATCTGGGAATTTGCTTACATGTGGCAGAAACCAAGTGAGGCACCTGTTCTTTGTCAAGAAATGAAATCATGGAAACTGTCTTTTTCTGTAGAACTCATCAAAACAGTTATCATTTCTAATTTTTCAGAGAGAAGGAAAACAATGAGCTGGCCTATAAAAATACTCTTTAAGGTTCAAAGAGTGCTAGAAGAATTTTTCTTTCTTTGGTGCGGGGGAGGGAGTTGCTATTGTTTATAATAACTTTTTGCTCAAAATTGAGCACTGACTTTTAATAGAACTTCTAAGTGCTTGTGAATATTGTGTGCACACGCGCACACACATATTTAAAAGAACAATTTTTAGGGAAGTTGAGACAAGATGGCAGAGTAGAAGGACGTGAGATCACCTCATCTGATGAAAACACCAAAATCACAACTAACTGCCTAACAACCATCAACAAAAAAATGCTGGAACCTCCCAAAAACCATATCCTATATCCAAAGACAAAGACGACATGACAAGATGGTAGGAGGGGCGTAATTGCGATAAAATCAAATCCCATACCCGCCAGGTGGGCGACCCACAAACTGGAAAATAATTATATTGCAGAAGTTCTCCCACAGGAGTGAAAGTTCTGAGCCCCACATCAGGCTCCCCAGCCTGTGGGTCTGGCAATGGGAGGAGGAGCCCCCAAGGATCTGGCTTTGAAGGCCAGCGGGGTTTGATCACAGGAATTCCATAGGACTAGGGGAACAGAAACCCCACTCTTGGAGGGCAGACACAAGCTCTCGTGTGCACCAGGTCACAGGGGAAAAAAAAGCAGTGACATCATAAGAGCCTGGGCCAGACCTATCTGCTGGTATTGGAGGGTCTCCTGCAGAGGCAGGGTCAGCTGTGGCTCACTCTGGGGACAAACACACTGCAGCTGTAGTCGTGGGGAGTACTCATTGGCATGAGCTGGCCTGGAGGCCACCATTTTCCCATCAAGACCTGGCCCCACCTAACAGCCTGTAGGCTCTAGTGCAGAGACGCCTCAGGCCAAACAACCAAAAGGGTGGGAACACAGCCCCACATATCAACAGACAGGCTGCTTAAAGTCTTCCTGAGCACACAGCTGCCAGCTAAACACACCTCTTGACAAGGCCCTGCCAACCAGAGGGACAAGACCCAGCTCCACCCACCAGTGGGGCAGGCACCAGTTCCTCACACCAGGAAGCCTGCACCAGCCCCTGGACCAACCTCATCCACCAGGGCGCAGACAGCAGAAGCAAGGAGAACTACAACCCTGCAGCCTGTGGAACAGAAATTGCAGTTGCAGAAAGTTAGACAAAATGAGATGGCAGAGGAATATGTCCCAGATGAAGGTACAAGATAAAACCCCAGTAGAACAACTACGTGAAGTGGAGATAGGCAACCTACCCAAAAAACAATTCAGAGTAATGACAGTAAACATGATCCAAGACCTAGGAAAAAGAACGGAGGCACAGATCAAGAAGATACAAGAAATGTTTAACAAAGACCTAGAAGAACTAAAGAACAGAGATGAACAATACAATAACTGAAAAGAAAAACACACTAGAAGGAATCAATAGCAGAATAACTGAGGCAGAACAGATAAGTTACCTGGAAGACAGAATGGTGGAAATCAGTGCTGCAGGACAGAATAAAGAAAAAAGAATGAAAAGAAATGAGGACAGTCTAAGAGACCTCTGGGACAACATTAAATGCACTAACATTTGCATTCTAGGGGTCCCGGAAGGAGAAGAGAGAAAGGACATGAGAAAATATTTGAAGAGATAATAGCTGAAAACTTCCCTAACATGGGAAAGGAAACAGTCACCCAAGTCCAGGAAGCAAGAGAGTCCCAGGCAGAATAAACCCAAGGAAGAACATGCTGTGACACATAGTAATAAAATTGACAAAAATTAAAAAAAAAAAATATTAAAAGCAACAAGGGAAAAGCAACAAATAACATATAAGGGAATTCCCATAAGGCTATCAGCTGACTTTTTAGCAGAAACTGCAGGCCAGAAGGGAGTGGCATGATACATTTAAGGTGATGGAAGGGAAGAACCTACAACCAAGAATGCTCTACCCAGCAAAGCTCTCATTCAGATTCGATGGAGAAATCAAAAACTTTACAGATAAGCAAAAGCTAAAAGAATGCAGCACCACCAGACCAGCTTTGCAACAAATGCTAAAGGAACTTCTCTAGGCAGAAAAGAAAAGGCCACAACTAGAAATAAGAAAATTATGAATGGAAAAGCTCACCAGGAAAAGCAAACACACAGTAAAGGTACAGGATATTGAAAAGGCAGGGACTTCCCTGGTGGCACAGTGGTTAAGAATCTGCCTGCCAATGCAGGGGACACGGGTTTGATCCCTCGTCCCAGAAGATCCCACATGCCGTGGAGCAACTAAGCCCATGTGCCACAACTACTGAGCCTGTGCTCTAGAGCCTGCGAACCACAACTACTGAGCACACATGCCACAACTACTGAAGCTCGTGCACCTAGAGCCTGTGCTCCACAACAGGAGAAGCCACCACAATGAGTAACCTGCGCAC